AGAATGTATAAAATCATACTTCATCAAATGAAAAACATAAAAATATTACCATATTATATTTTTCTTGGAACATAAACAAGGTTATATAATACCTCAAGGTTATGGTTATTATGTAATACCACAACAGTGTACTGTATATTATATTTTATCTTCCTAGGTCAAATGAACTACATGCAATAATTACGAATTTGAAAATCCATTGATCTGTTGAATCTTGCCATTTTGCATTTTATAATTCCTTGCTCAACTTCCAACGAACATCTATTTTCTTGCTTTACTTTTTAATTTTTTGTCATTCATCTACTCATGCTTTTGTAATGGGATATGCAATTTTATGCTAATAAAACACTTCATGGATTCATCTTGTATTTCCATTTATTTTTAGTTTGTGTAAGTGTATGTATTTCTTTTTTATGTATGTATATTAAAATAATAATTACAATTTAAAAAAAAGTATTTGCATATCCCAAGTTCTTCAGGCTTTATTATGTTTTGATGTAGTGTTTAATTACAGGCTGGAGTATGAAGATAGAAATTTAAAAAAAGAGGAAAATGAAGCAGCAGCTTATGAAGCTTTCATGATGTCTCTGAAAGAAGAAAGGACTGAGTAATTTGCTCTGAATATTCAGATTTTTTAGTTAGGTGCGCCGTAGTGAAAAAGAATCTCAAAACAATCCAGAATAATAGTATTATGATATGTACTTACTCAAAAAATATAATCATAGTTCCGGGACTCCTTCAATACAAATTTTGCCCTTTACTCGCCTCTCGGTCGAGATACAAAGTTGAAACTTGGCACAAATTGTTTTGTTTTGATAAGCTATCAATTCCTTTTCCGCCTATACCCTTTATTATGTTTTGATATAGTGTTTAATTACAGCCTGCGGTATGAAGATAAAAATTTAACGGAAGAGAAAGATAAAATACAAGCTTATGAAGCTTTCACAATGTCTCGGCAAGAAGAAATGACTGAATAATTTGCTCTGAAAATTCAGATTTTTGGTTAGGTGCGTCGTAGTTAAGAAAATTAAAAACCGAATTGAGAAGGTTTAGAAAAAAGGATTGTATGTTATTCTGTCTAGCTACACACACAAATTTAGTTAATACTAGGTAATACAGATATAGTTAAGAATGCTATCTTTGATTATTACAATTCCAATATTATGTATAATTATAAGTATAAATATAAGAAAACAATGACCTAAGTATCAAATGCTTTAATATCATGTAACAGTTACATTGTCACAAAGTTCGGTAGTATTTGTGCATTTTATGATTTCCAATTTTTTATTGAAGTTTAATTTGGTTTACTTATAAAGTTGCAAATTCAATATATCGAATGCTTTTACAGTGTTTGGAATCACAGTAAATGTATTTTTTAGTTGATAGTCATTTCATTAAATACAATTTATAATTGGCTCTTTTTTTCATATAGTATTCAAAAATGTAAGTAATACACAAGTTTATAAACAT